TGTGAAGATGTCCTAGTTTCCCTTGGATGCAACCAATGGAGTAGAAGATGACAAAGAAAGTCGGTTATGAATTGTATTTTTATTCACTGGTGCAGGCGTTTGATCGATTGAGAGTTCATACATGTTGTAAACAATATAAGAACACCCATAATTATTGTAATTGCAATCATTTGGCTTTATTGAAATCTAGGGAATCTTCTTCTTATCAACTGTATTTTCCATCAAAGGGCGAACAACTTAAGGGTCTACCGAAGAAAACACTAACCAAAGTGACAATAGGCGCTCCAACTAAGTTTTTGCCAGTTTGTCTGAAAATGACAAAGAGCAGTACTAGTATCATCTTCAACTTTAACCTCTAACTTATATCTAATAATAATATGACAAAAAATATATATATAAAAACTGGTTAAAAAATAGAAAAAATTTTTAAAAAATGCATCCTCTAAAATGCAAATAGAATTCTGCATTTAGATATTACTAAATATTCTTTTCTCCTCATCAAATAGAATGATTAACAGTGAAATTACAAATTGAAACCTTAACAGAAGCAACATACAATAGTCAGCTTGATTTTAATAGAGTTTAACTTACAATGCAAATAGAATTTTGCAGTTTTCGCAAGCCCATTTTTATTACCAATTTATATCTCATGAAATTGTTTTTATCTAATCGATCTTAACTAAACATAAAGGTACCTTGCTTTAGGCTTTAAAAGAGGTAAATTACATGTCTAACATCCCCTACTATCATCTGATAACAACTTGCAGAACATTTATTACTAGCTGTGTAATACCATCCTCTATCTACTTGGAAACCATCAACCCTACCCTCAACATTAAATTGTGTGCCATCCTGTTTGATAAAATAGAAAGAAGGTTACAAATTATTATTATTGTGTTGCACATGCATACAACAAATAATGTGAGTAAAAAAGAAATAAAATACCTGAATCTCAAGCGAAGTTGAAGATAAGAGCTCTATAATTGTCTTTTGGAAAATGGTACTTTACACAATGAACCAACACACTTCTCTACACCTAATGGTTCAACGAAATAAAGCTATCATTCACTTATCCCGAAGATGGTTTAAACTCAGTAGTAACCACAATTTAACTTAACGGAGAAATTTTCTATCCTCCATAAAATAACTTAATTGTTTCTTCCCTATCATCCCCTAAGTGTTCATCCTTAATGAAAGTGACAGTGAGAACCTAAGTTTGTAAGATCCCTTGCTCCCACCAAATTCTTTCTTCTCTTTAATACCAAAAATATGAGTTCTTTATATTTGTGAAGGAAAATGATTTGTGCACCCACTAGTTTGACACCCGATGGGTGCACACTCCATAAAATAACATTTTCTTATAGTTTGAAGCTTGCAGCTATCCTTGAACTTTGTCCTATTTATGCATCCAAACAGATAGCAACCCTAAACCTCAAGCGCTCTAATTCTCCATCGTCCTTTCTAATGTGATACTTTGATTGCTACAAGATAAAGGATCAGGTGGAAGAAAAGGTGTAGTAGAGCCATGGAGATTCATCATCTGGTTGTGATTTCCGATAGATAAGAGATGATTGATTGCTAGGCTTCTCAAGTGAGGAGTGTTTATGTTGTTACCTATAGCGTAGATGCAGAATTTAAGTTATTGGTGTGAAACTCTTTTTTAATTTCAATATGAAAAAAATATGGAGTTTATGATTGTTTTTTTTTTTAATTAGACAGTAATCTGTTACTGATGTTTACTGAATGTTAAATAAAGTGTAGGGTTTTGGCAAGCATTGTGACCCCAGTGTTGAATCCTTGATGCTTGACAACTGTTGTGCAACAGCGGCCTATGATGGTGGAAGATAGGTGCGTAATTTAGTTGTAATTTCCACTACACAATTTATATTATCGAGAGGGATTTTTCATATCCAGGTAACCATTTTGCAATCATTTAATTGGGAATTATGAAAGGTAGGAAGTGATGGATGTCGTAATGAACTATGGAGAAAGTGTTTGTAAGTTTTAGGTTAGCATGACCATACTAAAGTGTCATTTTACGTCATTTTAGGGCAAAAATATTTAGGTAGTATGTTGTTATTGAAATCAATTAAATGTAATGTGCATCTCCTTACACCGTGTTGGGAAGAACAGAGTTCTAAGACTAAGGGTCAATTAGTGATACGTGGTTATGATAGTAGAGATGAAGATGCAGTCATTGATGAATAGTTTAAGGTAAAAAAAAAAAAGAGTAAAGGTCTTGGTTTGGCAAATAATATTGCAAACATTGAGCCATGCTTAGTGTCTACATTGTGTGATTAACTGCTACTTTTAGAAAAGAATGATTTATTGAGTATGAGTAATGATGTGAGTCTGTAATTATCTATGAAGCATTGGGTAATGTTCTTTGCTCTGCTAAGTTGTGTTTAAGAAAGATTGAAACTGTGTTAGTTATATTATGATTATCTGACTTGCATTTATGTCAACCACTACCTTTGCCTTTAATTTTGCAATTAGCAAAGCTATTTTAAAGAAAGAGTGAAAACTGGAATGGGTTTGAAGTATATTTGTAATGTTTACATGATCATTGAACAATGATGATCCTAATGTCTAGAGTAGAGTAAGGAAAGAATACATCTGAAATGAGAACTGGGCTATGAGATAATTGTAACGTGGTTTGAGTGGGAGCATGAAAAAAGATATGTAGATCCACTGAACATTACAAAGAACCTTTGGTTGTAGTATTGGTATGCTACGATGTACAGCTGTAAAGGAAAATACATTTACAAGAACTAGCATTCATTTGCCATATGCAAATAAGTATAATGCTTCAATGCTGATTTGTGGGGTAGAGGATTGAAAGAATTTATGTGATATTATTGTTATGACAGTAAAGAAAGTGTTATGTATTGAAGAAGCGTGTTTTATTGAAACAATTATGGTTTCTTAAGGTTATTGAACATATATTCTGCTTTGTTGTAGAATGGAGATAAAGTGATCCTATAATTAGCTTGAACTTTTGTGTTGTTAGTTAAATAAAGGCAGGAGAAATTTATATTATCTCAATTATGGTTTCTTGATGATTTTGCATTTTTTACTAATAGCAAAAAGGTGCAGAAAATTAGTTAAAAATTTATGTTATGGCTCTTAAGTTATAACCCATGGTTACTTGAGACGTACAGCTTATGTTGTATTATTCACATTATTTTCAGCATTGCTTAAGAACACTGTGCACTTTCAATGTCCATCAGCGGCAAAAAGGTGTGGAGTTGAGGAAGTAACCTTGTAATTGAGAAAGAAGGTTAACTTGTATTTGCCCAAAACAGTAATGTGGCTAAAGGTATTATTTATAATTTACTCCTGTGAATATTTTTTTATTCTTGGACATTACATTTTGTTACTATAGAACACAATTCCTGGACTATATAACCTAAACTTGGGTGTCTAGGGTTTTGCATAAATGTTTCCTTCAAAATCCACTATCCAATAAATTTGTAAAGGATAAGGTTTCTATTTTTCTTTTCCCGATATAAAGTATTCAAATGTGGGACATAGAACATGAACTCACTTTTTTAGCATTTATGACAAGTTTTATGAGTAGAAGAAGTTTAGAGGGTTATTATGAATAACCATATTTAATATGGGACATTATTTCATTTGGATTGTTTCCCCCCAAGCCATCCCGAAAGGCTTGTTGGAGTACTTAGGGAGAACTAGTTTAGTGTAATTAAGTTTAGGGACAACCAATTGTGGTCTTTTGGGTTTAGGATGTAACATTCAAGGATTATTGCCCATGCTGAAATGGTGGACAAGTAGGCTACAATCAACTTGGTTAAATTGTATCAATGTTGCCCTTTTATATTGAAAATGCTATTGGGTGTAAAAACTGAAAATTGTTATTGTTGTGTTAAGAAAGGATGAATTCCCTTTTGCTTCTACTTGTAATTTAAACTTATATGACTTCATTGTTGTTCAAGTTGCATGTTGTGTATTTCTAGATCTCAAAGGAACACGTGTAAGTCACCCAAATAAATGGAGATATAGTTTCACTACAAGTCTAGTTTTTAAAATAATTTGCCCTAGTGTCGTTATCTATATGTAGTAGTTGTAAATATTTAATGATTGTGTTTAGGGTTATAGTTTATGCGTATAACCCCTTCTAAATTATACATGAAGCTTTTACTCCATCATGTTATATTTTGAAGATTTCTATCAATAAGGTTTGAATATTTTGGCTCCTCAACTAATTGATATAGCAGTTTTATGAAGGCCTAAAGATTGATAATGGCTTTTGGCCCTGTAATTTTGGCAGTCCATTATACAATGCTACAAAAGTTTGAGTGTCTCATAGGCCATTTACGGTTTAGGGTCCCATAAACATGTAGTTTTGTTCTTGAAAATTTTGTATCCATCACCTATTCATAATAGTTGAATTAGCCATCACAATGACAATTCAATTGTAAAACTGTGATTTTTTAGTTCCTAAACTCCATCTGAATCCCAACACTAGGGAGATGTTGTCCACAATTTTGTACTCAGTTGCCTACTATCCATTTTAAGGCCCATATAAACCTTTAGGAGGCCAACATAGCCCAAGAAATAAGTTGTACCATTTACCATAATTCATGCTATATATATTTATTGCACCTACCCTATCATGCTTTCTTACATTGTGATGGTTCCTTTTACCGGTTCAAGTTACATAAAGCAATCGTTGCATTAAGTAGGCTATACATAACACCACCACATTTAAAATTTACATTTTGCATACCTATTTTGCCATTATGCACCATTAGTGTTCCTTCTTTTAAGGTGGCTGCTACTTCGATGTATGTGTAATATCCCAAAATTTTGTGATATTTTAGCATTAAGTAAGGACTTTTGTGAGAGGAAATATTGTTTTGGGGCCTAATGTTAAAAACTCCAAAATTGAGGGACTTAAAAGAAAGGAAATGAGATAAGGATCAGTTGTTTTCTCTTCTTCTTTTTTCTTTCTTTCTTTTCTTCCTCATCAGACCCGCGACCTACTCTTCTTCTTTTTTTCTCCCCGACAAGCCCCTCCCTAGCCGCCGACTTCCTCCTTGAAAATTGGTGACAAAGCTTAGATATTTTCCCCTCTTTCTTGTGCAAGAACAAGTTGTGGGACTTAGAACCCTCCCTCTAAAGCTGGAAACTGCCGATCTGCTCTGTTCTTCCTTCTCGTCGGCAAGCTATTGTGGGTGTGAAATTTTGGGTCTTTTCGATAAGAATTAGCCCTAAAACTCCTCTCTTTAACCTTGATTTATGTTGGGTTCACCCTAACGTGGTTTGTTCTTCCAATTTTGGGTTAATTTCACAAGTTCCCCTGCAGAATTGCCGCCGGTCTCTTCCCCCTGCCGGGTCCGGTTCTGCAGCTGGAAAAATTATGGTATAATGGCCACTCCTCTAAGTCCGAATTACCCACTTAATTGCTGCTTGTTGAAGTTTAATCCACGTAGTGCAACCCTTGTGCTGTCCGAAAATTATGTTGGAAGATAGGAGAATTTTGATAGCTTAAAATGGTGTTTTTTGTTTAATTTAAGTAGAGATTAGCTTAATTTGGCTGTTGTGAATTTTATAGAGAAAAATCCCATGACTTAGCCATTTTTGGCCAAAGCCATGGGTCTCCATGTTCTTGTTCATGAGATTGGACAATTTTATAAATGTGTATATATATATATATATGTGTGTGTGTGTGCAATTTGCTTTTACTGCTCAAATCTTGGAAATAAAAATAATAATAAGGAAATAAATATGGCAGTAGATGGGGGTGCGCGTTAAGTGGTTTATAATTGAAAAATGGATTGTTTGTTGAATGTTATATTCTTTTCCATAGGAATCTCGTGTTTCAATTGGGAGGGAACAATGAGGCTTTGGTTAGGTTCTTGATCCTTTGTTCACTTTAGCACTTGGATCGAATCTTCGGTTTTATGCGAGTAAGGTAAGTAACTTATGGTAATGCCCTAGATGTAAGGTAAAGCTTTTAAAAGCAAATTTTTGATGGTTTTGAAATGGTGGCGGGACTAAACTCGTTTTACACGAGCATGACTGATTTGAAGTGAAATTTTTATGCTTTTCTCATTAAATTGAGCATGCCTACTTGAAATTTAATTGATTGTCCTAATGATCTGAAAGTGATTGGTGAACTATGATTTTTCTGTTAACTTCTGCCTGTTTTGTCTCTAATATGGTCATGTTATTCGTGTGCCCGCTAGTGAGAGGTTTATAAATGCTAGCACATGTCGACATGTTATTGATAAAATCGGTTCGTTTCTGTGATACTGTTATCCTGCTAGTGGGATTATACACTAGCAAATAGTGTGCCTGCTAGTGGGAGGTTTATAACACTGGCCATGACCTATAGAGGAGATATCTATTTCATTTTCGTACCGTATCCGTTTTTCGTGATTACACTTGTTGGCATGTTATGAGTTTAATTATGGGCTACCCATATTTTACTTACTGAGTTATCTCACCTCGTTTTTCTCGTCCACCATTTCAGGTTGTGTGACTCGAGAAATGAAAACCAAAGGGAATGACCAGGTAGAAGGCTAGCCATTTGTAATCGGATATAAGTCTTAGATATTATCATTCTTTTGTAAGATAGATTTTTCCTTGAGATTTTATGGTATCAAAATAGATTTTGTGGTATCAAAATAGATTTTGTGGTATGGTTAAGTTTCGAGCCTTGTGCACTTGTGGGACTCGTCTCATAAGTGTACAGCATCTATTACACCCTTGGATTTGGGTTTTGGGGCGTGACAGTATGATTCTACTTCTTTTAGTTAACTGATTATTCTCTTCATCATTCTTCCCACATCCGCATTCACCTTATATTTCAGTGGTTATCAATCCTCTTTGCCTTGAGAACACAGTTGGCTCTTTGTTTTGTTGTGGCAATGCCCTATCTCTCCCATGCAAATTCTTATTTTTCAAAACTTCATCCATTGAAGCAAATTTGATCTCCTTAATACACCGACGTTGTTGTTGGCAGTCAAACAAGTTCAGTTATTTTCAAATAAAGAGATTAAGGGATATGTACAGTTATGTCTTTATAAACTTAAATTAACCCACTAGCATCTTTAAGGCCTCTTATTGACTAACTGTTTCCTATTATCTTTTTCCTCTTGTATTGGCTTACAACCTTCTCCACCAAGGTCTTCATTTGGTTCTTTGTTGGTCTACCCCCCCCCCCCAGACCCTTTTTTTTGTGTCGAATTCAAAATGGGAAGGTTATTTTCAATCCTTCCTTCATTGTAGTTTGCTCTTATTCCACTTGTCACATATCCTCCATGTTTCCTTCCCCGTTTCAGCGTTGACCCTTTCATAAAATCACAATTACCCAGCTCCTTTTACTTTTCTTTCTTCCATGAATTCAAGTGGGTAACCATCTCATTTGCATATTCTTTGACATAAGTACTCATCTTTGGCATCTTAAATGCCATTTAGACCACTTGCAAGAGTACAAGATGTAGCTTCTTATACTTTTGCATCTCAGGCCTTTTATCATAAGCCACCAAGTAAAACCTCTCATAATTATAGGTTTGTCTTATATCTTTGCGCCACTGATCTAGAATGGATACTTTGTTAATCTCTTTCATTCTTTGTTTTTGTAAGATGGCAAACACATGATGACATAATATTCCTCTAAACTCAAAAGCCCTACATGTGCATCTTACTTCATTTTCCTCTGCCTTATATTGAACCTTTTTTGGCTTATCCGTTCCGTCCTTGCACATTAAGACACTCCACCCATCCTCCACAGCAACTTCTTCAGGAACAATTCCTATTATTCCTTGAAGCTCAAGTTGTATTTATATGAATTTTGAGTTAGTGTATGTAGTTTGGTATTGCTTCTCATACCCCAATTTTGTAACATACTAAACTATTAGCTTATATGATTCGAAATCTGCTTCTACCTCCTTCTTCATTTTCCTCCTTTGTCCAATTGCATATTGCTCCACAAATGTGTTTAGGCTAGTCCATCCATTAACAAAGCCATCAAAGAAAGCACTGAATCTTTCACTTTGTTGTGTTGAAGCCATTCTTGCCTAGAAGGCATCAATCAAGAAGGTTGGGGTCCACATTTCTCACTCCTTATATAATTATTGCAATCACTCGTTATCCTCTAACTTGTTCATTGCAATGATGGTTGCCCACTCATTTTTAAACTCCTTTCTGTCATTGCAATGATAGAGTAACTTGGAGAATCCTTTCTCTAGCTCCTTAAATGTGCTTAAAGCAACAGGTTTTTGGGGAAATTTTTGACGTATGTGCCATCAACACCATCAATGCCTTGTTCTTGGAAACACCATATGCATTGCTCTTCATATGGCTCTACACTAATCAGTGATGATCCCCTCCGATTTTACAACCCCCATGCACTCAAGCCAAGTAGAAAATAGCCACATGAATGATTCAACAGTCTCGTTAGCTATCAACCCACAACTAAGCATTATTGAAGCAAATGACATTATACATGCGTAATGAAGCAAACTAGATAATCATTTATAGCTAAAAATGAATAGACAAAGATTAAAGTAAAAGTTTACTTTTGTGGTTTTTTAGTTTAAATTATGAAATGCAACAATGAATCTTGATAGTTTCTTTGCCTGAAGCTTTTCTTATTGGTAAGATAAGTTGTATCAAATGCAACAACATTATTGAAGTATTGGTATGCTGCTCGGGTCTAGCCATTAGCCCCGAACAAGCTATTTAGACAATGGTCCACATCCATTTCTATCTTACTGAAGAAGTTTGGACTTTGACTTTTCATGACTTCAAAGTACCTTTGGACAGCCTTCTCATCACCTTCAGCAATTCGCAATCATCTCTAGTGTTCCAAGTGATTTCGACAATCTCACTCATTAAACCTCATATTCTCAACTCCACCATATTCTTGCACTATACTTGTGTTGTTATTACACACCCCATATTCTTGCATCATCATTCATCTTAAGTGTTCTCCTCACCCCCAATCAAAGCCCCCTATTGCATCTGAATTGCTTGCCTTTTGATGGGTTGAGCTTATGGCTATGTTTTAACATCACCATGTTTACGATATATTTCCCATCTTTCTGTCTTGATTGGACTAAAGATATTTTGGCTTTGCATCCAACCTTTTGGGACACAAATATTGAACCCTCCTTCCTTTTTGTCTTACTTCTTAGATATCCTTCTCAAGTACAAGCCAATCTCACACATTGGTATATCCCATCTGTTGCTAATGTTGAATTTCTAATCGAAACTCCAAATCCCTTAACCTTTCCATATGCGTTATAGAACTCCAACGCACTTTGTACGACTTCACACACCATTCCAGCCATAGGGACGCCTACTTTGCTTGCATCTTTGCCTCACGCTCCATCATTGCATTGACTACTCCACCGTGGCAGTAGCACCTGACTATTTTCACCAACACTATTGGGACCATCACACGGTAGCTGTTGTAGGTTAGTAGGTTTTGGACCACCAACTCGCCCTCAGTTGGTCTGAATCTTTGAATCTCGTTTGATTTTTCCATCTCCCCTGTTTTTTGGTACCTTATTTACATAATTATTTTATATTCCCATTGACTTTGTGCATCGCCTCCCTTGTCCTTTAGCCTAACAACCCCCCAGAGACCACATTTTCTATTTCCTATACACCATCACCTTGTTCCCATTAACACCCCCACTATACTCATCTCAATTGTTTGTTACTACTTCCTCTACCCATTAATTTTTTTACTGTCAAAAGTAATCTTGCTCTTTCATGCAACACCTCACTTTGTTGACCTTTAGGCTTGGTCTCCTCACTCAAGTTATCCATTTGCTTCAATGAAATCACATGTTACAATTGCATAATCATTAAATAAATGTATAAACAAATTTCTTGTTACTCTTCCAATCGCAACTCCTAAATTGCAAATATTATAACTGCACTGATATAATGGTTTCACCTTGTTACCATCATCACAGTTAACTCTTTCTAGTTGAACCTTGAGCCAAACTTCTTTTCAAACTTCCACTCTCCTTCCCTTTTGGTCTTACTATGCTGCTTTAATTGCTTCTACACACAAGAATGGTTTATGAAAATGGTTGCTAGCTTCCCTATCTATTTTCCTTCCCTTACACCCTTAACATCGTTCTCTTGTTTTATGCATTATTACAATTAATTAGAGGAGAACTTCCCTAGCATGCTTTTACTAAATTCCATTATCCAACTATTTTAAATCCTCCATTTCCATGAGTAGTAATAAATATTAATTTTTATATCTTACTTGTATCCACATCAACCTATTTCATTAGTTTCTAAGCTTCTTTCTTTCACAAAATCTTGAAATATTGTCACTATATACACTACATGTTGTAGTGTATTCATAATACTCTGTTACCTCACCTACATTATGTGCAGATTGTCATTCACATTCCTATCCAACATCTTCCCATCAATTTTATTAAATTTTCAAGTATAGTTTATCTCATTTCCTCTATCATTGTAAATTGACACTCAGTTTCAGTTACCTTTAATGCACTCACAATTTATAATTGTTTCCTTTCTTAACCCCCCTTTGTTTTCTTTTTATCATCTTCTTTTCAACTATCTCCATTATGTATTCATTTCTCTTCCACTGCAACTGTCTAGACTTAGTTTTTGAAAAATGAGTCCATTTCTCTTCCTTGCTTATGCAACTCTTTCCCACCCATTCCTTCCCAAATTGCATTCTCTATTTCCCGCCCTTTACCATTTTGCACTTCAAATCCCAAAAGAATATCCCCTTCCTTCCTTCTTTCCACCAAATACAATGTCGTCTCAATCATGTCCAAATGCCCAGTCACACCCTCAATTGAACCTACCCTCTACTGAATTAGTAGGAGTTTGACCTTTCCCACTTCTTCACTGTCCTTACTCTATGTTCCACCCATTACTGTTAGTACCTTCCAAACAGTTCCATCATAGTTGTAATTTTATATAGTTTTTATTCCATGTTACTTCCATTAGTATCCCAAAGTTAAATATAAAAAATTTTCACTCCATTTTTAACTATGTTCCTACTTAGGTACTTTATTTATTATGTATTATTATCTTAATTAAATTATATTTTATCTAATTTTTATATTTTCATCCTTAATTTATAAATAATATTGTTCTCTTTTTATCTTATTTACAATTTTGTATACATTATATTTATTAGTTAGCTTACAAAGCTTATTATTATTATTATTATTATAACTTGTTCAACATATGCAATGAAGAAACTGTTTTATGGTTGAACCAATTCTATGAACTAACTGATTCACCACCATATTTATGAGTTTCAACTTGTGTGGTTTGAAGTTCGACTCTCGCCACGTACTTGTAAACTAACCATTATACATGAAATTTCGTATACTGAAATAAAGAAAAACAAATTTAGTAATGTTAGCTGCATCTGCTTCCACACTCTTTTATCAACTATCGCTTCCTTATTTTACCTCACTCACATTGCACAAGGACTCACTAAAAATCGATTATCAAAGCCCTACTAAAAGATAAATTAAAACTCTGAAATAGTTCAAATTAAAGTAACTAGACCATTATTTCATTTTTACAATCTCAAATTCTTGTGATATGAGTTAGAGACTAAGTGCAGCATTCAACGAAACCTAGGAAGAATACAATCCGAAGTAGTGGGTACTTGATTTTAATCACAACTGAAAGATTGAATTATTCAACTTCCTAACAAAGTAAAACAGTATTGATATAAAACTTTAAAACCCAGTCAAATGCAATTTTGCTTTTGATTCCTCCATTTGTCTTCTAGATTTAACTCCCTATCCATTGCAACTTATCATGCACCAGTAATTGGAGACATATAAGAAATCTCTAAAGTTGGCCTTTTTTTTTTTTATTCTCATGAGAGAGTTGATTTTATGTTTTGTTTTCTTTTTGGATTATAGAATAATGGCCTTGTTCTTTTATAATTACAATTTTGTAGTCCTGTTCTTTCTTCTTTCTTGTTTTCTTTAATGGAGACAAAATTTCTCCCTTTTCATGTTTTATTACATCATTTAAGCATTTGATGAAATTATGACCTAATTGTTTGATCTTTTAGGTTGTTATGCTGCGAGAGAATTGGATTTTTTTGAAAATAAAGAAATATATTCCTTGAATTTTATTTAATTTCTCTATTTCTGGTTTAAGAGTTTAGGGACCTCCTACTTATTTGTGACATAGCACATCTAATGGCCAATAGTGGAAGCGGTTGTCAATTGGATAGTTGAGGTATGCTTGCTTAAAAAAAAAAAGTATAACTTTTTTTTTATTTCACTCCAAATCATACCCATTACCTATTTAAAAAAAAAAAAAATTCATAGTTTTATACTTTAATCAACTTTATTTGCTTATCATCCCACCATTTTTCCCTTCTATACAATGTTTTAAAAACCGGACCGGACCGGCCGGTTGAACCGGTCGGACCGGTTCCCGGTACAATAAACGGCTCGGATTAAGGTTTAGAACCGGTGAAACGGTTGAATCGTTCAAAACCGATAAAACCATTCGGACCGGTACAAACCGTTAAACCATTCAACCGGACGGTTTAAATCTTTTGGAAAATTTCCCATAAGTTGTCACCTGCAGGCTTCGAACACAAGTCTTATGAATCATTTTCCATCACCTTTGCCACTGGGACATACCTCTTCGATTGTAAAAATGGCTTAAAATTGTATTTATTTTATGTTCAGGAAGAAAAGAATCCTTACTCGAACTTTCTTCTTCTTTTTTTTTTATCAGTGAGAAATTGGGGGATAGGGGAGTAGGTATAATATTGCTGCAGCAGTGGCAGCTAGAACCCTTTGCATAGACGCCAAGGGGATGATGCACTTCCAACGCAGCCGAAGCCGCAAGTGCGAACTTTCTTCTCTTTTATAATTAACTTTCACATTAAAATTAATATAATATTAATCTAATTTTTATTTTAAATATATAAATTAAAAATGTAATAAATATAATTTTTTATAATTAATTTATATAAAAAGCTATAAAAATTGATATTTATATAGATGATTTTAATTGATTAATTAATTAATTTAAAATTAATCTTTATAATTTTTTATATAAATTAATTAAAAAATTAAGTTACTTGAAAGGTTTAGAAATGTGATAAAAACATTTTGACACGCACTAGGTTCGAACACACGTTTCCATTGTGATGGGTGAGTAACAAGTAACAAACCAATCCAACCACTGCACTTGCCTTGTTAAATCATCACACCATATTCTATTTATTCATATGCGTCAAACCGAGAACCGAAGGTCAAAATGGTTTGACCTCCGGCTCGGTTTTGAAAACATTGCTTCTATACCCTCTGTACCAGGCACTTCCTCTTCTTATATGTCATTCACACATCTCCCAATGCCAATACGTCTTATTTCTATGAAAATTTGTTGTATTGTAGAATTTTTTGATCGATATTTTTTAAAAACTTCAACCATTCCTTTCACCTGACCCTTTGATTACATCCATATTTCCCTACCTCAATTACCTTTGATTATGTGTGAAGTTGTAATTAGTTTGGGATACATCATGTGGGGTATTAAGTTCAGGGATATAGTTGACTCTCACTATGGTGTGCAATGGATATGGGCAAAAACATAGTAACTAAGTAGACTTATGTGGAAAAAGACTTTAAGTGGAATATTAGGAAAGTCATGCAGGACATGCAATACTTCTTCATAACACGAGTGTGCGGCTGTTGGTTTTGGCATATGAGCATGTTTTGGAAAAAATGTATTGAAGAACAATTAATTCAACTCAATTATTGGTACTTTAACACATGTGGGGAAAGAATTGGGTAAAGTGCATTGCAAGTTACATGTTGGGTGAATTGAAAAGGTTTAATTATAAAACATGGGTAAAAAAGTTAATATAATTTTCATACCGATTTCCTTTTGTGATGATATAATCTTATTTGAATATAGAATTGATCGTAATAACTATAATTGTAATGTTGATTTCACTTTGTGAAAGGAATGAAGTTTAGTACCCTAAACTCCAAAGCATAATAATTTGGGGAGTTAGTAGATAATTTAACAATTATGACACTTAGTAAGAGTGCAAACTTCTGAGACTTGATAATAACTCCTTTTAACCACCAATTTAAATAAATACTTGTTGTAACCCACTTAGGCCAGGTGAATCCTCCACCCTCAAAATTGGTTAATAATAATAATAAATTTTTTTCAATTTTTGTTGAATTGGTGTTACTTTTTACAATGCTAGATATTTAATTAATAGGGAATATATTAATTGAATTGTTAACTCTAGTTGAAGTTTAATTAGCATTATTGATTGAAGAAAATACATCCACAAACAACTATTATGACAGTGAAAATAAACTTAGTAGAAGATATTCATAAATAATAATTTTTCAATAAATATATTCTTAAAATTATTAAAAAAAGATTGAGCCAATTAGTACTATACAATAAAATTATGTGTGAGGTTTTAATATCTAAGATAATATGTTAAGTTCTAGTCAATAAAAAATTAAAGTAAATGAAAGTTAATTTATAGATAAAGATAGATATTTAAAAAAACACAATCAAATAAACACATTAATGTAAAGCACCAATTTGGTATGAAAAGATAATCATTAAAGGAAAGTAGTAGTCTTTTGAAATGACTTGGCCAATGTATGATAAGACACATTAAAAGTGAGGTGGGTTTACGTTGGTGAAAAGCCCAGTGTAGAAAGCTAAGAGGGAACCAAGGAAATGGTGGGGGGTTAGGCCACATTCAACTGGTTGGAGAAAAAAAAAAGGTAAAATTTTAACCAATAGGAAAGTCTGTAAAAAGGAGTTGTAGTTCAAAGGTGGTAAAAACTTATAAATAATGTATTTAATATGTGGCTATAATTGTAGTGAAGTTAGGATTTGAAGGAGTTGGAATAGTTCATTGATATTGAGAGAATAGCATGATGAAAAGAAAATAAAAGGAAGAAGAAGCAGAAAGATAACAAGACCCAATGATGAAATCACTAAGTACTAGGTAGTAAAACTATACAATAATATATTTAATAAGTAACTGTAAATTGTAATGAAGTATGGATTTGAAGAAATAGAAATAGTAAAATGTTGTGGCAAGTATCGCAGGATGATTCATGAAGGGCTGAAGGTGCATTTCACCTAGTATACATAATCAATGAATGTGGAAGATCAACCCCTGTACTTTAAACCATGGCAAATCAACCCCTCTACCTCACAATATTCACAAAATAGCCCTTTTAGTGAGAATGATATCATCGAACCATTAACCCCTCCCATTGCCAATTGCATCCTAATGAGGTGGTGGTCCCTCGGGGTGATTGCTTTTAAATGAAGGAGGGCTTTTTTTTTTTTTGGCTTGTAATACTTTAAATATTATATATGAAAGGTATATTAATACCTCAAAAAATATTACGAATTTTTTTCATTTGTATTTTTAAAATCGAAATATAAGTAATATATTTTTTTATTAGTTAATATAAATATATTTAAAATTAACATTTTTGTACTATTAGTATTAAATAAATTCTTGTAATTAAGTTATTAAGAAGTTTTCTAGCCTATATCTTCATAGAATAGGTTAAATGACAATAATAGTAATAAATATATTAAATTTGTAAAAACTTTAATATAATTAACATTAAAATAAAATATAAAATGTAAACATTACAAAATTAAATTTATATACTCAAAATACATAACAAGAAATGAATCTTATATGAAAAAATATATAAATTTAATTAAAATTATTTAAATTAATGACTCTTTACTTGTATATTTTCAACTCAAATTACATAACTCTAATAATTAATTAATTAAAACATCATTTTTAATATATTATAATAATTATTAGGAAAAAGCTTAAACATGTAGGCCCAACTATATAAAAAGACCATGATATTAAAAATAACCCACTTTGCCCATACATAATTACCATTCAACAATAAACTAATTAGATTGGATATACTTTAGCTTTCGATTCCTTGAATTTTATTATAAATGGATAAGTACATATAATTGGACATTTTTTTTATTGACTAAGAAATAGCAAAGATTTTTAATAAATGAGACAAAAAATAATTGTCAACATTGTTCACAATTATTTTTACCAAAAAATTATATTTATAAATATATTTCTCAAAATAAATTTATATAAAAATTTTAATTATTTAGGTTTTTGAAATTTAATAATTAAAATTTATAACATCATGTTAATATAAATTTAATATTTTTGAATAAATAAAATTCATTTAAATAATTAAAAATAAAAACATAAATATTTAATATTTCATATAATTTTATTATATAAAATTCATTTATAAATAAATCTAAACTCATTTTAATAATAATTTATTAATCTCATTAATTTTCAAAAGAAAAAAATAAAAAAAATTACTTATTTTCTAGTAAAGAGAAGACAATGTTTTTGTTAATAATTTTGACATAACATTAAAAACTTATTTACTTACCCATCTCTTCAAACGAATGGCCGAAGAAATGCTTGAAATCAATATAATAACTTATATTCAACTATAAATCTTTCATGATTTTTACCAAGAAATAATTTGTAAACAATATATTAATTTACATTAATTAACAATATTTCAATTTTTAAATAATCACTTGTATTTATTTTATATCCAAGTACTCCTTTTAATTTTTTGTACTTAAAAATTAACTTCTCACTAAACCTACTGTAATATCCCAAAATTTGACATATTTTAGCATTTAAGTAAGGGTTTTTGTGAGAGAAAATATTGTTTTGGGGCTTAATAACTGAAATTTTTAAATTTCAAGGGGCTTAAAAGTGAAAGATATTATGATAAGGATCGGAGGATTTTTTTACTTCTTCCCAGCCTTACGCGTTTCTGCACTTTTTCTCCTTCTTCTCACCCGTTGCAGCCCCAAAAAGAAACCCAGCCACCGACGCCTCTTCCTCTTGAGAAACCGGTAAGAGCTTGAAGTTTTCCTCTTTCTTTTCTTGTTCTAGGACTGAAATTCAACCCAGAATTCTTCCCCCCCCCCCTCTGCAGAATCCCAGATCTGCTTTGCTCTGTTTCTCCCGTTCGTCTGCTGCTCCTGCTTTGTAGGGGCGAATTGCTCTGGTTTCTGGTAAGAAGCAGTCTGAAATTCCTCTTTTCTCACTTGATTTGGCTTGGGTTCACTCTAAGCTCTTTTAATTTCCTTCAATTTTGGGTTAATTTCGTGAGTCCCTTGCAGAATTGCCGCCGGCTTCGTCCCCCCGCCAGGTCCGGTTCTGCTGCTGGAAAAATTCTGGTATGTGACAGCCCCCTTTAAGCCTAAAATGACCCATTAGTTGTTGAATTTTGTCCATTTATTTGCTGCCTTGTGCTATCCGAATTTTGCTGGAAAAATGGGGATGAATTTCGGTAGTAATTAGAGCATAATTAAGCTTAATCCATGTATAAATTGCTTGAGTTGGCTGCTGTGATTTTAGAGGAAAATCCCGGGTGTTTTAGCCCCTGTCTTTGCCAAAGCCGTGTTCTTCCCTTTTGCCGTGGGATTGGGAAACCAAATTAGTGAAATTTGGCTTTAAAACCTCTTGTTTAAGAGATTTTTGGATGTTATGATTTTATTTAAAAATATTTGGACTTTGGGTAGATATACGGTTTTGAATAAAAGTGAGTTATATTATGGTTGAATTTCGTGTGAAGCTCAGTGGTTAGTAAATTTGCGAGGTTTTGCTAATAATTCTAGTAAGGTCTGAATGTATTTATTTGGAATATTAGGTGCTGTTATGGCTTAGAGCACTTGGATTGAGTCCTCGGTTTTATGCGATTTGAGGTAAGTAAATTATGGTAACGCTCTACGATTTTATGATCGATTTGAAATGAAATTATTATTCTTTTTATTGATTTGAGCATGCTTACTTGGAATTTACTTAACTGCCCTGATGAACTGAGAATTTTGTAAATTCTGATTTTTCTATTAAATCCATGCTCGCATGGAAATTTTTCGGTTTATTTTTGAAATTTGAGATTGATTGTGAATTACGGATTTTATTGTAAATCTTGCTTGTTTTGTCTCTGATATGGTCATGTTATATGTGTGCCCGCTAGTGGGAGGTTTATAAACGCTAGCACATGTCGATATGTTACTGATAGAACCGGTTCGTTTCTGTTATCCTGCTAGTGGGATTATACACTAGTAAATCGTGTGCCTGTCAATAGGAGGTTTATAACACTAGCCATGACCTATAGAGGAGACATTTATTTCGTTTTCGTACTTGTACTTGTTTTTCGTGATTAAACTGGTTGGCATGCTATAAGTTTAATTAGGGCTATCCATATTTACTTACTGGGTTATCTCATAGTTTTTCCTTGTCCACCATTTCAAGAAGCAAAGTTAAGGACGGGGAAAATGAGAGGGACAAGTTAGATGGCTAGTCATCTTGTAAATTGAACATAGATTTTAGATATAAATCGTGATCTTGTAAGCTCGACTTTATTTGGAGATTTTTTATATCAGAGCAAATATTAAAATTTTATCTTCAAATTTTGTGGTATCAGATTGTAGTATGATAAAGTTTTGAGCCTTGTGCATTTGTGGAACCCTCTCACAAGTGCACGACATTTGTTACGTCTCGAATTTAGGTTCTGGGGCGTGACACCTATTATATAGAAATGTAGACTTCCCAAAAATAATGATTAACTAAGGTCAAGTCAATTGGTCCTCTTTAGCTTCCACCCAATAAGTACCACCTCATCTGTCTTTAATGGTTAATGGAAGGAGGTAACGGTTGGATGATGTCATTGTCACTAAAAGGCCTGTTTTGCTAACATCGTTGAGTGTATGGGAATCTTTGCCATGGTTTAATGTACATGGATTGAAATGCCACAACATTGCAAGTACAAGGACTAAATTGCACCTTCTGCCTTGATGAAGAGAAAAAAGGGAAGAAAGATAAGAACAAAGACAATGAAATGCAATGATGATATAAGTAGTAGGTCAAAAGGGACAATGAGGCTTTGTTCTCTATACTTAGTGGCAAAGCCTCACAGTAACAATAAAGAGAAGGTTGGTAATCAACAGAAGTTAGTACAATTGCTTTAACAAAGGAAGCTATTGCTTGGGAATCAAATTGTGAACATGATGGTAAAAGGGAGAACAACCACCAAAGGAGTCTCATAAACCATATGAACCCAAAATTCAAGAAGATAAAGATTGAATGGGGATGTGGCCATTGAATGCCACGAAAGGATTCATAAAGGCCATAAATAAGGGGTAAACAACTCAAATAAAGCCAACATATGCCATATAATTAGGTCTTCACCTCTCATCTCTATACGACAAACTTGTGTAGGACAAAGAAAAATTTCAGAGTTAGCCAAGAGAACCATATAGAAAAATGGAGTTGAGGCCAATTTCACTGATCGAAAACATGGCTATCATGTCACCCATAGAATGGGATGCACTATTGGGAGAGATGAACGCCATGTAGCACACAAGGAAGAGGTTTGAAAGGGCATGGGAAGAGGCTAGTGAACCAATAAAAGCCGTACAACCTATGAAGGAAATATATATGGGTTTCTCGATGTAGGTAAGGTGTTCTATCATGGATGGTGGGGTAGGCTTGGAAAGGGAAATGACGTTTTATTTAGAAGGTTGAAAGCATGTGTTTAGAGTTTATACTTGCAATATAGTTTAGTAGCCAAGGAACGAGGTGCCGTTATAGATAGTAGTTAAAGCAATTAGACAAGCAAAAGGTAGTATGAGTCCAAGTCCAAGTTATATATGCTGCTGATTGTTACTAACAATAAAGACAGTTCATTTTTATTCTTGTAGGTTCAGGGGTTGACAAAGGCAAGGTTGATCCTAAAGAAAGAGAACAGGGTAGACGTCGAAAATAGTGCAACACCACAAGGGCTCGTAGCAAGATATAGTGTTTTCCAACCTTCGTTAAAGGTTGAGGTTGGAGTTTGGGGAAGAATTACGTTACCAATTCACTCTTCAAGTGGCCATTATGGGTGCAGATCATGGAGGCCAATTGAGGAGGAATCCTTGGAATTGGTGAAGTGACTAAAAAAGCTAAGCATGTACTTGGAGCAAGTGAAAAGGGAAGACCCCTTTTGGAGTGACATGTTTAGAATCATAGCCATGGTTCTAGCTCTCTTGACTTCGAATCCATCTCTCATGGACGTGAGTGCCAATGAGATTTATACTGGAGGTTATAAGCTATATGTGGATGCCGAATATAGAAAATACAGATGTTATATTCCACTTGGAATTTAACCCAATTGCAAACTTGACCAACAATGGGGAAGAACATGGGACAATGATGCACTCACAACCATTCTTGCATTCCATCCTCCTCTGGAATGTAAGAGGTGTAATGAAAGCAACCTTTTTGGAGATTGTGTAGATATTGCATTGAAGAACAATGCTTGATATGCAGATTATATTTAATATAGGGATTGCAGAGCAATGAATCATTCCAATGGGGGATGATTGAGTGCAATTTGATGGGAAATTGATTGCACCAGCTTCTAACAACACAGAGGGAGTGAAGTGGTGGAGGTTTGTAAGTTAAATGTGGGCCTTGTAATAAGGATGAGAAAGTGAAAAGTGGGCCTTCTAAAAGGGCTCTAGATTGTGGATTCACGTTTTGGATAGTAGGACTATATTTGGTATCTAACCTGTAGTTGGAACTACGGCTAATATGTAAGAAACAACATACAATAATACTAAGATCGTAATTATACGGTATAATGTGTTTTAACCATAAAGGTTTGCAAATTCGGGAGTTGAGATAAAAGTGTCTCCATTAGGGAAAAATAAATTTATAAATTTCAATCAATATAATTGGTATGTGACTAAATTAATTGAAAATTATTTAAATAGTAAAAATTTCACATGAAATTTTAAAAATTTAAATAAACAATCTAAAGATGTGTAACTACAAATTACTACTTTTCAATGTTGCTAACCATGTTGCTAATTAATAGTTATTAAATTGTTTGAAAATGTAATGGGTTTCCTATAAAATGTCATAATAAAACATTGCTACTTTAACTTAAGAAAAATCACTACAACATTTCAAGCTTTGATTGAAATCCCCAAAAAGGCCATATGAGATGTCCAAAATTTGAAGCACAATTATCAGCTTTGACATAACTACACAAGCAGCACCAATCCACCATTGGGGTGTAGGTGATTATTACCTAGAGTATGACCTCAAAATTCATATAAACTATTTAATCTTATCCACATTCACAAGTGCAACTGGTTTTATTTGATGTAATGACTTTATTATGATTTTATGATTTCCAACCCCAGCTTTTTTATATCCTAATTTTAGCTTAGTTAAGGGTGCTTAAGAGAACTTAAGAAATGGAAAATGACTTGATATAGGGGTTAATCCAAAAAGAAATGCAAATTGGAGTATCAATTTCTACTGACATTGATATGCATATGATAATATCCTTAAATGCTTTTAATTAAATAAATAAATAAGTTAAGTGTTGAAGGTTGAAATGGGAATGAGCTTAAAATAAGAGTGCGATATATGAAATTGATGATTACAATGAAGGTATTGTGGATCATGCTGCAGAAGTACAATTAGGACAAAGTAAAGGAGGAGATTGGGTGTTAGGTTTTCTACAAGTTTTCTTTGATACAAACTTTGCCACTGATTAATGTCCACCAAACGACACAAAATGGATACTATCAGCCACATATGAAGAATAACTTAAACATTAACTACACAATGAAGTTAGGGAAATTTGTCCATATTTGCAGAGTATTTGCTCATTAAACAAATAGAGTCCAACTAGCTCTAAGAAAAGATGATAAGTTTTTATTTTTCTTTAGGCGAGGGAGAAAACTTAATGAGATACAAAGAAACTAATGTGGAAAACTTCCAAGCACTATTGTCATCCATACTAGATCAGTTTTCCACGTTTCGCTGCTTCGTCCTCTTGTTCTTTCTTCACCATTATCTCATTCGTTATGTCTTTCTTCTTCTAGTACAGAATCAGAGATTTCTCATAATCGATTTCATTAAATATATATACGTATATATTTATTTGAATCTTGACCTATTATCATATGACAATATGAATTCAAAAACATATCAAATATCAAAGACCAAATAAAGAAAATGAGATGAAGTATTATACTGTGACTAAAAACCCACCTCATAGCATACTTGTTGCAAAACATGTTTGGAAAAGTTGGACTAATTCATCACCATACCCCATATTGACACAATGAGTAATGATGTGAAAAATCTGTAAGTTACCTACCAAAGAGATCTAGAGAATGCATGGCAGACAAAATCTAATTAATCCCATTTAACTTTCAAAATTTCCAATATATATAGTTTGCGGATCAACGAAGCCTATAGCATTCAAACCACAGAAAAAACAAATGGAAACCATGAATAAAAATAGAAGAGAAAGCTTGATGTCGCACATAGAATTCCAACTAAAGTTTTCGTTGCTTCACCTGAAACAAACAAAAGAAGGAAAATGATTACTCGCAAAACTAAAATGAAAAATAAGACATTGTTAGACCTTCGACTATAAAGGATTTCAATGCAAAGTAGAACTCTATTGTGGCTCTTCTCCACAACATATGCTTTCTTGGAACTAAAATACGGAAAATATAAGTTCCATTGTTAGTTTACACCAAATGCCAAATGCCAAACACCAAATAAAGTGAGTTATAAATTAAGACAAAAACATAAAATTAATATGACTCTCACTCTACCATTGCTAGAGAACATCACGCCATTCTTCCCAACATCATTCTCTCCCCCATCCTTCCAATTCTCTTATCGTTTTGATTGATCTCAATCATATTCGACTCATACAAACCATATGAGAAGATTGAAAGGCAAAGGTGATATTTTTCTTACAATAATAAAATGTAAGCAGCACTGTAATTTTTGTTGAGTAAGGGGACAAAATCAAACTCCAATTTTAGTATATCATGGGAGGACCATAGTGGACAATACTAGAGTGGCATCCAGAACATCATGTTGGTCACTACGTACATTGGTTAATGAGTGTGGACACTCAATTCAAAAAGTGTTTGTGATAGAAGACATAGCAATAGAACTAGTGTTGCTCAAATAAATTTGGGAGAAATATTTGTCATACAATGAGCGAGATTAAGTAATAATATACTTGGAACTAAACAAACAAATAATTAACCAAAAGGGCAAGTAATACTTCAAGTTATATTTTAGATATAACTAAAATAGTCTAATCTTCAATATAAAAAGTTAGTGTTGGGTACATCAAAAGAGATGTACAAAAAAAAAGGACTTGAGGGCATCGTAATCATAATGAGGACCCTAAAATGAGTAATAAGTTGTAAAGGGTTATCTATAAGAATCAATTAAAGCTACTTTCTTTAGTTGGAATTGAAGTGACTTCTATGTTGGATATTTAGTAGCTTCTAATTTTTGAGGAATTTTGGAAATCGGTGCATGTGCTCTTTCACATTCTAGAGACGTCAACTACGATTGGCATATGTGCCCCCCCACCTACTGGAACAATCACAAACTACAAGAACTAAGAAAACTGGATCGGTCTACTTTCTTTGGTGTGCCAAACTAGTGAGTCAATTACAAGTTATTGGGGTTACAAGTACAGTCAATGACCTCACAGTCAATGGGGATTGGAAACAGTGTTTGCAGCAATATCCACCCCTTGTTGCCTTGAACTTATTTCAAAGCTAGTGACGAGAGAAGGCCACAATCTACAACAAAGAATCGTGCATGCAAATTACACTATTTATTTCTTTAAATCCACATCATCTCCATAACCTAAAAATAGTATTCAATAGCGAAGTTATTATGATATCATACTCTCTCAATGACAAGCTATTATACACATCTAAATAACTACAAACACATCGAATTACTTTAAATTAGTATACGCAAAAAAATGTAATCCTTATGTATACAATTAAGAGCACAAAGCAATAGCCAATGGTTCACAAATTAGTACATACTCACCCAATTACCCAATAACATGTACTTTTCTAAAGCTAGCACTTAATCAAATAGTGTATACATTAACCATAGTTTAATGTTTGCACTATCATTTTCCAAACCAGGATCCTAACCTTTTTTTACTTCCATCTATTTAGGCATGATTGCATGTTCATCTCTTTTGTCCTTACCATTTATAACTAATTAACCCATGCTTTTATGACTCTGTTCTTCCACTAAGATACTAGGAGATGCACATTACATTTATTTGATTTCAATAAGAACATACTACATAAATCTTTCTATCCTGAAATGATGTACAAAAGCATTTAAGTATGGCCATGCTAACTTAAAACACTTAAAGATCATTATTACTCACGTAATTAACATGAATTATCTTCTTGCTAGATAATAACTCACCTTTTTTCCATTTTACCTGATGATGCCTCCCTTCTTTGTTCAACGATCTCACTAGATTGCACCCACCTTGCTCGCTATATCTTCTTCCTAGCTCCCTTTGCCCAAAATCTATACTAATCAGACAAGAACAGCTTTCAATTTCCTTCTAAGGCAACTTTAACTATACTAATAAAAGTAAAAAGAACATAAAAATACCAACCTTTTAACTCTAGGAGGCTTCTGTGTCTCAATCGAAAGTCATTCCAATAATGGCAACAATGATTGGATTCTAGACGCCCCAATTCCAAACCTAATTTTATGGGTTTCCTTCACAGCCAAATGTCCTTGCTCTGTGATCTAGGTTTCAAACACCTCCCTTGATCTTCTACATGGATTTCCTTCGTGACCACCATCACGACTACATCTCAAGGGGATTCACATATGGATAATCTGGCGGGAGACTGTAGTGCTAGATCTCACCTATTCAATTGTTTCCATTGGGTGATTTTTACTGGACAAGTGGGAGATAAGCCTATCTTAGAGGTTATCTGATTTTATTTTTCAAACCGACTGAGTGTGTCAAGGAGGGTGTTAGTCCAAAGGGTAACTCTATCATTGTCCATTTGTGAATAGTGGGTTCAAGGAGATTTGGAGATTTGTGGGTACAGAAAACTAGTGGTACTAAATTGAAAAAAAAATAAACTTTTTCAGATTTTGACAGAAAAGAATCAGATTAAAGCATTTTGGGTTTTTTTTTTAAAAAAAAAAAAACTAAAGCTTTCTAGTGATGTGATTTTGCAGATAAAGCAACTCGGTGCTTAAATTCACCTAAATCCTCGTCGCCTAATTGGTCAGCTTCTGAGATGATGACGATTGGATC